CAGTCTAAAGAAAACCCACAAGAATCCAAACTGATATATTTTATTAATACAATTCCAAGATACTAACAATGCAGAAAACAATGCCAAAGACAAACATTCAGTTGGCTGTGCTGTCTGTTTGCACTGAAATAGAGCAGAACTAAATATATTGGCACAAAGCAACAGAAATCAGCATATCCTTTAAAGCACAGTCTGATGGCATAGAATGGCATTTTTTTTGTTTTCTAAGTAAAAACTTCAGCTTGAAATATAAACCTGTTCTTCTTATTTGTAAAATAAGTTATGTGGTGTTGTTAATGGAGGCAGATATACCAACAATACAGATATAGCATACCTTGAAACATGGTATAGCTAAATACACAAAATACTGCCAAAATTTGTTGTTGCTTACAATGAAGAAATATGTCACCCAAATCATTACATGCAAGGGTGCATCATTTTTATACCCAAAAGATTCAAAAGCTGCTAACTGATGACCACTATTTCAGATCTATACAACTTCTCCTATGAATTATTTCAAAACAGGTAAAAAAAAAAAAAACCACTGAACTTTGCCCAATCACAAGGATCTAGCTTCAAAAGTGGAATTAGCAGCACAGATTATATACAAGCAGTTCAGCAAACTATTCAAAGTTCTAAATCTAAAGAATACCAGACAGAACGACATAGCCTTCACTGAAAAGTGTTAAATTGAATGCTACATTTGATGTTTACAGAGTATCGAGTTACTATCCAGATAAAGACTCTCACCATCAATTATATAAAAAATAATTTGACAAAGTAAGCTAATTTTACCAAAACATTTTCAGGAAGTCTAGAAGAGATATTCCAATGACTGTACTAGTGCTAGAAATAAAGTTCAGTGATAAATATCTTTTTTTTCAACTAAGCACTTATGAACTCTAAATATAGAAAATTAAGTAAAAATATTATTTAAAAAGTGATAAATATCATTTTTTCTCCAACTACATTGAAAACCTGAAAAAATTATAAATTAAATGTCAGCAGCAACTAATCAGATTTCACAATGAACCACAAGATGATACAAGTCATGTTCAATAACTACTCCCAACTTTTGACAATAAAATTTGAAAATCATGAACTGGAGAAGATTAATAGTTATGACCACATCAAAGGATTACCAGAAGCAGATATTGTAAAAGAAATGTGCAACTAAGTTGAAGAGTTTTGGACAATCTCATGCTGTATTCAAGAGCAAATGCTTAACATAACACACCATGACAAGAACAAAAGCATAATATGTATATGACCTAATAAAATGGGTAGTCTCATAGAAATTGCAAATGAGCTAGCCATTTGGCATGAACAGATCAACAGTGGACGACAACAGCAATCCATGACTGGATACTGACTGACATTAAGAAAATATATAGTACTCAATTTAAAGGTGTTGTAGACAGTATAGTGCAGGGATATCAAACTGCCGGCCCAGGGGCTGGACGCATCATGCAGAAGCCGCGCCCACCCCATTGCCAGCAATGGCAAAACAGTCCCAATACTTTGTGAGACATCACGTGACATCGCAAATTTGACATGTTTAATATAGAGGATGGCCTTGATGAATAAAGGGAAGATCTGTTGCCAACGCAACAATCACGTAAACAAGTCGCAACAATCATGTAAACAAGTCCTGAGCCCCTACCAAGAAAGAGATTTATGAAAAAGCTTCTAGTAGCACCCTTCCCATTCACGTAAAGGTAAGAGAGGGAGGAAGGAAGTACATTCAGAGTTGCAAGATTCTACTACAGTTGTTCTAATAAAAGTAGTTTTAGGCCCACATAGTGTCTCTTTATTAGTCTCATCTATTTTATAGTGCTGATAGATTAAACTACAAACAAACTGCAATGTGCTGAAGAAATTGGAAAGTAGTCTTCTTCCTGCAGTGGATTAATTTGGGCTGTTCCTAGTACTGACAGATAAGCAGAAAAGCTTGATAGTTTGTTTACACACAGAACATCCTCACAGCATGTAGCTTACTTTCTAGTCATTTAGGATACTTAAATCATAACCAGGAAATGTACTGAACTTCATAACTGATATTGGGTCATATATCAGTAACGCAAATTTCTATTGGAAGAAATTTATTCAGTGAAACATACAAGTAGAATCAAGCTAACAAGAGATCTGAATTATTATAACAGCCAAGAACCCATTCCAATCACCTCTGCCACTGATTATGCTGACTGTGACTGATGGAACTTTGAATCCAACAGATCTGCGAGCTTCTCCTCCTGCATTAACACTTCAGTCAATTTGAGTGGTTATTTTGTATTAACATTTCAGTCAATCTGAGTAGTTATTTTCATAATCAAAATCAATCTCAGTCTAAAGTTTTATGGAGCCAGAAAGTAAATAGATAATTAAAATGAAATTAATCTTCTTCCATGTGATGTTTTAAATTGATTTAGGCATATCTCAAAGTTCTTTAAATGCCAATGGACCCTTCTTGTTTAGCAGCTCACTCCTATGTTGTTTATAAATAGTTTACATAAATAGTTTGCTGCATGATAATGGTGCTCAAAACTAACTTGCCTAAAAAAAGCAATAGACAGATTTGTATCACAATAGAATCCCCTTCCTACTTCAACTTAGATTTTCCTAGGTTTTATATTTTACACTGCTGCAGTTTACTTAATTCCTAAATCATGAATAATTATTATGGATGAATCTTTTATTTCAATTTATTTAGATTGAGATATGCAGCTATAATATTTTTTTCTTTCTCTTTTTAATGTTTAACTCAGCTTAACAACCTCTAACTTTCAGAATTAGAAACTGATACTTTGAAACTTTGAGGAATTAGAGCAGAAGACCAGATATTACTATATGCAATTGCTATGTTATAAATAAACAGAAATCATTATTCCTAATGTAATTTTATAATAAAAAACTTTATAAACTATCTGGTTATTTGATAAATTGTAAACTATCAGACCATGTCTGGTGATAGTATTAATTACAATCAGTTTAAGGAATGGTATTTTAGATTTTGTTCTTACTCCTTTGCTTACCTCAGTAGAAGAATTCACAGGATGGTTTTCCATCATTTTGAGGCAAATCTAAAGAGAATTTGTCCAGAGTTCTTAAGGTATTTGGGTAAATAATTGTGATTAAGATGAACCCAGGATGATTTACATGTTTTCAATCGTATTATTTTCAACAAGTATACAGGTTATTGAGCAAGTATCTATGAGAAAGGCATCCTCTCAGATAATCCTTGCACAAATTACATCTTGTTGAGAAAATTTTCCACTTAACTGAGCATTCATTTTAGTTGGTTTGTAGAATTATAAATATTAATATACATCTAATATTAATAAAATGGAGCAAACTCCAAAGAACCATTTAACTAAATGTTTGCCATATAGTAAAATATGTAAAGCTATATGTAAAACAGCATGGGAATGAGCTGTTAAAAACTTTCATTGGCACTGTAAGAGTCTTGAGACATACTTGAAGAATAAACTTAAAGTACCAAACTGAAGCCAGTTGGTTAATTCCATTTTAATTATGTTAATTCCATTTTAATAATGGTTTAGTTAATTCCATTTTAATAATGGTTTCACAAAAACATTAGATTGAGATGAACATTGACTATGAAAATAACCCCTGGCATTGGCTTCAAAATTCAACTCTTTGGATTTATTACTTGACTACTGAAATCCTAGTAAGTATTGTAATACTATTTATTTACTTGTAATATCTACATGTAATGCTGTAAGATATGAAAAACACTACGCTGCAAAATACAGATTTAATTCATTTAGCACTGAAAAAAAATAGCTTATATTGTGAGACAACACCAATTAAAACTGGTATGTACATTCATTTGTAGGATGAACACTGTCTCTGCAATTTTATTTATTTTGGATCAACTTTACATTCTGTGAAATCTCTTAAACAACTTTCACAGAATGAAAAAAAACATGTAATTTGACCTTTTTTTCAAGCATTTTATTATTCAGTCTTTTCATCTATCTGGGAGGAATAATCTTTTTTTTTTTTCAGGAAGGTGGTGAATTTTATATTGTTTTTTATATGACCTCTGGAATAATGAGCTTGAATGTTAGGTTCACTTAAACTAGTGGAATGCTGCTTTCAATAATGTGAAATAAGCTTTCTGTTATCTTAAAATAAGGTTACCCAAAAAAAAGGTATTTTCTTATAATGGATAGAAAATAGGCAACAAAAGCTAAGGGGTGTGTGTGTGTGTGTGTGTGTGTGTGTGTGTGTGTGTGTGTGTGTGTGTGTCTGGTTGTGGGCATAGGATTTTCATAGTTGCATTAGTGTGTAAGTAAATCCAATAATTTTTTTCTATCTCCCTTTGATATATCTTATTGTAAAGTACTTATATGGTTCTTATCTGCTTCCCTGAATAAAAAAAGGGAAATAAGATTTTCATGATAACAGATGAAATACACACTATAAAAATTAATAAATACTGGCAAAATGAGTTTCCAATAAGAATCCCAAATCTTAAGAGTATCTCAGTTTTTGTTTGGTACCTTTCAATATTTTAAGGAAGTGCCGATTTCACTACATTAATATCTTCCACAAGAAACATACCCGCCCTAATTCTAATTACAATACTGAACTTCTAAAAGAAAAAAAAAAACCTAAAGTAAATACTATATCCAAACTTTCCCCAAAATCATGTCACTCATATACATACATACATACATACATACATACATACATACATACATATATATATCTCCAAATTTCTTTTTCTGACAAAGAGAGATTGTAAAAAGTAAAACTGCAGTATAGCAGTTAAAAATGTCAAGGTGTAATCAATTAGACATCTGTCTGAGAAACTTCCTGCATATATATATATATATATATCAATCAGACACATTTTATAACTTTTAAAATATTATTTCCTTTGAACTCAAAATATAAATCTGTTTAAGGATCCCATTTTCTTATATCAATCACATACTCAATGGCATCCTCATAATAATATCAGCAGCACTTACTCATCATACTTGATATGATAAATAATATCTTCAGTATCCATATAATCTGTATAAGATGTGGAAGGTGTATTGTCCAAATTATTTGTATTTTCTCTAGAATGGTCTTGGCTCAAGTTTCCATTAGTCCTTTTGTAATTACTGCCACTCTTTCCTTGAGCTTTTCCATTTTTATGTCCTTTTGTTGCTCGAGTTACATTTTCTATATGAGCTTCGAACCAGGATCCAATAGTGACATCTCGGGCATCCACCAATTCATTTATCTAAAAATAAATTTGACATTTAGTGAATGTTACACTGTAGAAACAAACAACTAATGTGATGATGTTGAGCTTCTGTGCTAACATTTACACTTATAATTTATTTCTAGTTTGGCATTTTTTGTCTGTACACTCTTATACTGCCTATACCGAAAGTTGTAAAAACAGATTTCATAAAGTAGGATAGTCCTTTGTTCTTCCGTATTGGAATTCCCCAAACTTCTGAAGCAGATCTGGAGTTGTGCAGAAAATGTGTGAAGATAAAAAAATGCCGGTGGAAGCCACTTTAGCAGCAAACTATTGCCATTAGGTATAAATCTGATTGTCAGAAAATTGTTTTAAAACAGAAGTTGCACAGAAACCATATATTTAATTAAAATAGAAGTACTGTATTATATAATATTTTTCTTTCATAGTATTATTCATTATCACCAATGATTTAATGTATCTGCAATTTTTTAATACAGGAATGCCCAACCTGTGGGTTGCATGCAGCCCTGGACAGCTAATAATGCTGCTTCACAAGATCATAAACTTTTAACATTATGTGTTTTTATAATATTATTAGTTATATTTTATATGTGGCCCAAGATAATTCTTCTTCATATTATGTGGCCTAGGCAAACCAGACAGTTGGACATCCATGTTATATTTGTTGCTTCTATTTTAACTGGATGTTTCTAACTATTTACTTTTCCTAATATTAATATTTTCTGTAGTATTATCCTTCATCATACAATATTTAAATAATTGAATCAAGAATACTTTTTCCCTCTTGCTATGTACCATATTCTAATGCAAGATACACTTAATATTTTGCATATAATCTAAATATTTATTAATCTTGATAAAATATACTCTTTTAAATAACAAATGTTGTATAAAACAAGTCTTGCTAAGCATCCAAAATCATGAACTCAGCCATCACCATTGCACCAGCCTTTAACAACAAACTCCTCTCATGTAGTAAATTTTCACTTTTTAAAAAAATAAAAGTCCCCTACGTTTTGCTGAAAAAATGCATTTAATAACTTTTTAAAATATGCCCCTAAACCTATCCTAATTAAAGTCACATTATGGGTAACAATTAATGTCATTCATGCAGATTGCCATGAAAATAGATTAACTTCCTTGACTTTCTCCATACCCCAGATTGCCCAACCTCTGCAGCATATCTAGGAAAGCTACAGAAACAGAAAGAAATTGATTCGTAGTAATACATTCCACTGATGGAAGTACAAGTCTGTTTATATAGATACCCAATGATATCCATAGACAACATATTTTAAAATGAATAAAATAGTTTAAAATATAGTATCGTAAACCAACAATCTAAAACATAGGTTTCCAAGATAAATTTTCAGGGACAGTGAAAGCAATAAACTAATATTCACTATTTATCTGTGCTTAAAATCTGACTATAATAAGTAACTTAAAAACAGAATAGGGACGAAACATTTTTATATTAGCATAATAAATTCTTGCATAACAAAGCCATACAATTTAATATTTTCCCTAAATCTTTCCCTAAAATTGTGCCGTACTTTTTATGTGAAAGAATTCAAGGGGGTGGTATGACAAAAGCAGTTTTTCCTCTGTTGTAGCCTCCGGGCATTCTCCTAAAGATGTTCCTAGCATCTTAGCATCCCAATTAACTTTTTGCATGGTGATTAAGAATGTGTAATTCCACTAGAAATCCACAATTTACATCAGATGGGCACAAATTATCAAGAGGAAATGACACTTGATAAATTAAAATTTCTTGTGGGTCATAAGGAAGTATTTGGAGTCCTGATCAACTGTTTTGTAGCTAGCAGTGATGAAACCATGAGAGGTGATGGCAGCAGTGAGGCCTGGAGGTATTCAGAAGCATGTCTTTTCATTGACAATGGCTATACATTTACTACTTTTTATAAAATATTTGTGAACCTCATGCAACACATGGACAGTGTGTTGTGCAGGCCTGGTCTGCGTGGTTGGAATCTGATAGATTGGGTGACTGTCTCTATTTGTCAAGCCCCATTTAGGACAAACCCCATATAGCTATGCAGTGAAACTACATCAATTTCAGAAGACATCTTTAATGGTAGCCAGGATAAAAATATAATCTTGTAAATTCCCAGGCAGATGTTCACTGCACAAATTAAGTGATAGTCTTTGAAATAACTCCTTCACAGCCCCCCCCCCCCAGATCAGGCCTGTATTGCTTCTTCTCAAATAAACTGAAATCTTCCTCCCCTATCACCTTCCCACATTCATTCACATTTATTGTACATACCAAGAGATGTGTTGCAACTTGAAGATAGAAAATCACTGAGAAGCAGTCATAGAACTATACCAAGTACTAGGCCAAAATTCAGTCTCTGCACTTACTGTATGTACAGAATAGCACACACAGAATCAACAGCCATTTCTTTTTATGTAGACATATTCTCCGTGAGTGTGTGTGTGTGTGTGTGTGTGTGTGTGTGTATACACATATATGCACACATACACAAACACATTTTCCAGGAGGAGAAAGAAAAGTTCTCTTTCTTTCTACATGAAATGAGCTTAAAATCATTGTCTCTCTGCTGCCAACTGCAAAAAAAAAAGAATTTAATGAATTTGCTGGGAAAGAAGGAAAAGCCATAGGGAAAAAATGCTTAAAATTACTGTATTTCATCTATTATAACAAGAATATAGTGATTTTAAAGGGGGGGAAGGGGGAAATGATACAAATAATCCCCTGCAGATTAACTAAAAAGTAGACTGGGGCTATTTGGAAGTGGTGATCACAAGGCTTGAAGCAGGAGGCCAGTTACATAGGTTCCATGGTCACATTTTTAAAAGATGAGCTCAGAAAAGGTCTGCCAAGTGCTGCCAGCTTCTAAGATTACATCTCTATATACTATCTCAAATAGAGATAAAAATTTGCCTTGAAACAAGCATGAAAACAAGGAGGGGTGGTTTCATATATAAACTATATGTGATAATTATAATTTTAAAAAGCAAAGACACCTTTGGAATCTTAAATGGGAAATTTTGACAATGGAGAAATCCCAAAAATGAAAAGTCTCATGCATTTACATGCATATGCACCTACACAAACCCAGAGTTCTCACATCTGTAAATTTTCATTTCATAAAGCTGTTCTTCATTTAAAAAAAATACATTTTGCACATATTTATATGTAATATAAAATGTGTCTCTCCAATAAATAACCTCTAATCTACATGTTACTAAATGCCACTGTTCCAAACGTTGGATTATTTTAATGTCTTTGAACTACAAAGTAGTTCATAAGCATTGACAGACAAGTTAGCTCTCAGAATCTGACCAATCATTACATTTGCAATTGTTAAAACATTAATTACTTTAAGGTATTTTCCTTTTCCCCCGCACAGCCTTGTTTATACAGATTTAAAAGAATGTTCCTATGCTGCAGAGGCGTTTATAATTTCAAACAAATTATTGTTTAGGGCAGGGGTAGGCAACCTTGGCTCTTTTGTGATTTGTGGACTTCAACTCCCAGAATTCCTGAGCCAGCTATGCTGGCTCAGGAATTCTGGGAGTTGAAGTCCACAAGTCATAAAAGAGCCAAGGTTGCCTACCCTGGTTTAGGGAGTGGGAGAGGAAAATTGTTTGGATAGATCATAAAAGTAAACTCAATCAAATGAATTTGAACTTTTCTTTCTCAGTAAATGAAATCTAGTACAATCATAAACTAATAATTATAAATAAGGCCTAATATTCCCATTACCAAGCTAAATGCTACTTTTCTAAAGGCTAACACAACTCTGTAGAAATATGATGAAAGTAGACAGATAGCATCCATTTTTATGATCCACTACCACAATGAAAATTATTTTCAGAACTATTTAAAGGCAAAATAAAATATGGTAGTCCTCTATATGAGGAAAGAGATATGAGGCAGAAAGTTGATGAAAGGAAGGAATGGATTAAAGAAAAATCACCCACGGCAGAAGGACAAGCATATAACTCATAAGGAGGGAAGAGCAGGCTATAAAACCAATAGGTTCCAAAGAACAACCACACAAGGATAGGTGTCTGGGTGAATGAATTTATACACAGTAGATTCAAAATACATTCAGACAAACAGTAGGAGCTGAATTTATATATGAACTTGACCCTAACAAAAATACTGGGCCGCATGGTACTATTTTATCATTTAGAATGATGGGCCTTCTTGTTCCAGCCATTCTATATGCTCTTCTACTTTGTTCCTCTGAACCTGGACACTGTGTCCATTTGCTTTATCCTCTACAGTATAGAGATGAAAGAATCAGTAGAACAGAGGATGAGCTGGATGAAACTACCTTAAGGACTGAATCTGGTCATAATCCATTCACTGGAACCACTAGATCATAAACCGCACAAAAAAAAAATAACACTTTTCTGGCATAAGATGAACGAGAGTTACGATCATACTTCAGTTACTGCACTGAAGTTAGAAGCATAGGTAAATGGCTTCTAAGAACTGAACGATTAACAATGCTTGAATTCCAGCTGCAGCAGTATATATTTCAATAAATGTCTATGGTAGCTGAATATTAAACAAGGCAAATAAAAAGGCTTTTATATTTTCAGCCACATCAAGTAGGACATGTGTTCACATAGAATACAGCTTATAAAAGCATGTCAGAAAACAGAAAAGTATTATTTAAAAAAAATTGTAGTCACAATAAAAAATACCAAATTACAGTACTGTAATAAAAGAAGAAAATTCTCAATGTTATATTCTCAATCAGTTAATTTTCAGAGATTCCATAACCATTATTTAAAAGATTTCCAACAGAAATCAGAAACCAAAAGAGTAAACCAAGAAATAAATTGCCACATTCATAATTCATATTTTCCTGAGCCTTTGTAGCTACAGTTCAAGCTAAGGAAAAAAACATAGCTCCTTTAAGGACTACTGACAGGTATCTCAAGGGAGGCTACAACAGAATCAAAGTAACTTTGCATGATTTAGAATCCCAATACTACACACATCTAGCATTAACCATATGATTTAATCAACGGACATTTAGACTTTAACTAAATAACCTGTGAACCATTGGGTAATTATTTCAGAGAAATATAATGAACACAGGCAGGTAAAAAAGCAGTGAGAGTAGAAACAACTTCTAATTTCTTGCTGATTTCACCACTGACTTAGAAATTATGATTATGTGATTGTGGCAGATAGCAGTGGTATGGCAGCACTGGGTCAACCACAATTTTGCCAAATTTCAATCCCACCGATCTGGGATTTTGGATGCATTCTTTAAGTTAGCCCATTTGAGGTACGTTAATTCAATAACTGTTGCCTATGATGCACTCATTCCTACCAATTGGAGATTACAAACAGATAACCAGCAGGCAAATGCACAGATATAGCATGGCATGATTTCTATTTAACTGTTTTATTATTGATTATGGCACAAGAATAGTTATTTTGAATTTTCTATGATTTGGTCTTGCCTTCATATTTATTGATAAAAAATTATCATCTGTTCTTTTTAAAAGAAGAAATAGTTAGCAATATTATACTAAATTGGAAATTATACCTAGTCAGTTACATATTCTCTAAGAAAGCATTTTCACAATAAACAATGTAACAAAAACACTTTTCTGTAATACATTCAATCACAGGGCTAGTAGAGACTCAATAAAGCTGTGTTTAAACAACTGATTATAGGTCAACAGTTGTGTTTGAGAGTTTGACTTGTCCTATGACCATAGCTGTGATTATTACCTAGGAAGAAACACAATCTAAAATTATAAGCTAAGTTAATGATCACATTTTTGAAGCCTAGTTCTACAAAAAAAAGTTTTCAGTTTTGCAAAGCAAACATTTTACTGTTTCTTGTTGTCCTCTTGATACCCTAAATATTTTCTTGATAAACTTCCATAACAAAGAGATTCCTTGATAAAAGGTTTAATCTCAGTAAGCAGAATGGTTGGAAGGCACCTTGGAGGTCTTCTAGTCCAGCCCCCTGTTCAGGCAGGAAACCTTATACCATTTGAGACAAATGGCTATCCAATCTCTTCTTAAACACATCCAGTATCAGAGCACCCACAACTTCTGGAGGCAAATCATTCCATTGATTAATTGTTCTAACTGTCAGGAAATTCCTCCTTTGTTCTAGGCAGGTTCTCTCCATCATTAATTTCCATCCATTGCTTCTTGTCCTGCCTCAGGAAAAGAATAGGAGAATAGGTTGACTATTTGTGGCAGCCCCTTAAATATTGGAACCCTGGTATCATGTTACCCCTAGTCCTTCTTTTCATTAAACTAGACATACTAAATTCCTGCAACTGTTCTTCCTATGTTTTCGCCTCCAGTCCCCTAATCATCTTTCTTGCTCTTATCTGCAATTTTTCTAGAGTTTCAACATCTTTTTTATATTGTGGTGACCAAAACTGGGTACAATGTTCTAAGTGTGGTCTTACCAGGGCATTATAAAGTGGTAGTTACACTTCATGTGATCTTGATTCTATCCCTCTGTTAAAGCAGCCTAGAGCTTTTTTAGCAGCTGAGACACTGTTGGCTCATATTTAAGTGATTGTCATTTGGAAGTAAATGGATCCTTACTTAACCAGCATCACTTTGATATAAATTCTCCATCACTTCCCTCTTTTTAATAACTCATGCTTTCTCACTGACGATCCATCTTAGCAAAAAGATCTTTGGTTTTTATTTGGTCAATGAGGTGTTTAGGACCAGGTATAAGTGGAATTTTTCAAAACCAGAACTGAAAAAGATTGTTAAAGGTCAAAAGCAAATGTTACTATTGTTCTGTTTCTTGTAAAAAAAAATTTAAAAACTTTTCTGGACAAAGCAATCACAATAGTGTACTAAGATATATTAGCATACATATTGTGTATATGATAATACATTAACTAAAGTGCTAATTAATGTTTCATCTTATTATAAAGATGCTAAGAAACTACATTGACTAGTTTATGGTTCTGGCTAAATATAGGGAAAAGGGAGTACAACTTCTGCAAGACTTTCACCAAGAGCCACTCAGTCTAAAGAATAGTTTTTCTTCCTATAACTAAAAAAATCTAGAAAGGGACACTGACATGGAAAAAATATATTAATTCAGTTTATGGATTCAGAAATAATACTGGTCATGGTTCAGACATAAGATCCATAAGCAAATGATTGTTTCCAATCAACTAACATATTATGTTGAGACGCCTAGGGCAGATTTTAGTACTAAATGCAAGGCAACTATTATTATTCATAATTTAAAATATGCACTGCAGAAAGATAGGATGGAGAAAGAAAACCCTGTTATTTCCTTTTATTATTCCTTTGCTTTGTTTATTTAACAAAAATAAAAGCCTGCTAACAGCCTACGTGAATAGCCAGAGTTCAATAGTATTGATCTAGAACCAGGAAGGCCCATATTTAAATCCATTCTTTCAACATGGAAACTCTCTCAGCTCAACTTACCTCTTCAAGTTTCTGTGGGTTAAATGGAGATGCAATATTAACTCACCTTTAGCCCCTAAAGAAAATGTAGGATAGAAATCTAATTATTTTTAATTAATTAATTAAAGAGAGCCAGTTTGATGCAGTAGCTAGGGCACCAGGATAGAAAATGGGAAACTATGAGTTCTAGTCCTGCCTCAGGTACAAAATCAGCTAGGTGACTATGATCCTATCACTCTCTCTTAGCCTTAGGAAGAAGACAATAGTAAACTATTTCCTAAATCTTGTCAAAAAAAAAAGAATTGCAGGAACTTGTCCAGGCAGTTACTAGACTGACTTGAAGGGACCCAAAATAATAATAGTTATTATTATTAAAAATCTTTCCCAAATTTATTCCAATGTAACATGCTATTGCCCCATAATTTTCACCCAGCAGACTTTAATTCTAGAATCGTGGCACCTTTAGTCCAATACACAGTATGTAAAAGTAGATAGTTTTAAAAGGCTGCATAAAACGCCTAGCCAATTCATATTTTTGATTACAGAAACTGCCTCCATCTGATATCTTCTCTTGTGTTATATTTGCCTAGCACAACCAGCCACTTTGTTCTAGAGAGCCCTAAGCTTCGAAAAAATATGAAGCTAGAGACTGCTCTGGAGAGGAGGGGATGGCTAAGTTGCGTTTCCACTAGCACTTCTCTCTTCTAGCTACCAGATTTAATATAGAGAAATCATTATAGTATATTTCCTGTTCTAGAACAGGCATTCAATACATAATCCTTATTTTTAAAAAATGAATTCACAATCATCTTGGAAATAGAACTGGGAGACACAGTCAAGGTTAAAAAAATAAAACAAATACCTTGTATTCACCAATGCCAGGATCTATAAGAAATGAGCGAGCTGATGTAGATGGCAAACTCGATGATCCACTGTTCACTCCTTGTTTGATTTTATTCTTACAGTTGGTAACCGCACAGGGACCAGGCTTTCCATCTTTTTTATTCAAAATTGTAGAAGGAACATCAGACTCTGAGCGTATCAAAAGCTGAACTATATCATTCAGTCCAACATTATAATCAAATAAGGTATGGCCATCTTCAAGCTATTAAAAATGCAAGAAAAAATCCATCAGAAAAATGTATATTAAAAGAAATCAATATAGTGTAAAAATATGAAAATTAAAAACAGAAAAAGCTTGCATGAAAATTAAATCTGTGATGTACAGAATAGCTGGTATTAATAACATATCATCTTTGGTTTTTAGGAGATTTAGAACTCTCAGTGAAAAGGTGTAAAGCTTCATTGACCAAAATGCCATAATATACTACTTCTACTTTCCAACTAAATGAATATAATATAGACAAAATTCTCCTTCCCTTTACATGGAAACTTTCCACAACATTCCAGAGAGTTATTCATTATCCAAAATAGTTTTTCAGGGTCTATGGAAGTAAGTAATTAAAAACTGTCTACCACTACTTTCTCCAACAGAAGAAACATCAAAGTACTCTTCAAGAGACGTCTGGAGCTACGTATCAGATTAGTATTGGATTTAACTACTACTTAGTTAAAAAAAGATACTAGAAAAGGTTCTAGTCATGTGATTTCACTTCTGGAAAAGCACCCCAAAAAAACTCTGTTTATAGGCGGAGCTTGTCCTCCAATGTTTGAAGATGTTACTTCATTTGGTAACAAAATGTCCAGCAGCAAGCTTGGAGGACAAACCTCTGCCTAACTCTAAAACCCAAGCTACGAATATTCTCTACAATTTCTAACTCTATTTATGCTAATAATTCAATAAGTAAGAAGTGGTAGAACTCCAAATAAAATGCAATCTGTTAATTCACTACTTCCTTCCTGTTAGAAGGAAAATACAGAAACAAAAAGAGATGGAGATACAAGTAATCCCATATACAAAGATACTTAATGCAGATAAATTTTCTAAATCCCATTCTCTACTTTAGTCTTCTATGACCATATGCCATTCATATGTGTTGTGAGTTCAAGTCAACATTTTTGAAATTACAGTATGATCTTAGTAAAATTACAGGAAGCCAGGTTGGGGAAGGTATTTTTCCTTATCTTATTGATAAGGGGTCCAGACTATATTAATTTACTTCATCTATTATGATACAAGAATATAAGTTCCATTCAGGCTTTCAAAATCTTATCAATTCAATTAGGGGAAGAAAAAAACAAAACTGTAGCTCTGCTTTCTCAATGTCCTCTTTATATTCAAGGTGAATTTCTGAAGCAGAGAACCTTCATGCCATAATTTCCAGGTAATACCACTTAAACTTATATACCACTTCAAAGTACTTTGCAGCCTACCCTAAGCGGTTTACAGGATCAACATATTGCCCTCAACAATTTGGATCATTTTACTGGTGAGATTTGAACTGCTGGCAGTCAGCAGAATTAGCCTGCAAGACTGCATTCTAAACCCAGTGTCACCATGGTCAATGTTGCCAATAGTTGAAATAATACTTGTTAATTGAAGAGGATAAATTTGGCATTTAACTAAAGGTAAAATTATGAAGTATGTGAATTCTTTTATCTTCATTATAACAGTATGTAATTTAATACCAGTATTAAATAAGAAAGAAGAAAACTGCTTGTTATGCTTTTTATTTTTTTCTTAGTCCTAAAAATCAACTTTCAGAACTTGAAATAAAAATAAAAAACAGTCATCTCATGTTACTCTTGCTTCACCATTCAAATCTTGTTAGTTTTTTTCTTCCCAGAAATCAGCTGGTACATTCTTAGGACAAGAAATTTTATAACATAATCAAATAACTCAGCAAGTCTGGTTTAGTTCAGTTATATACATGCTAAGAGTTCCTCCCAAGCAGCATAGCTTCAAACTACTCATGCAGACTTTGGTTTAAGGTTGCCATACTATATAACAAATGTGACACAAAGTTTTATTCCAACTGGAACAAGACAGAATGGAAACAAACATGTCAGGGTGATAGAAAAAATTCAAAAAACAAAATTAAGATTAAAACCAGAGGTGGGCAATTTGGTACTCTTACAGAAGGATCCTCTAGGCATAATTAACCATAAGCAAGGATGGCCAAGCTTTGAAAATATATTTATTGCAAAAAAATAATACAGTGCTGTAATTCAATTAAATTTCTAGCCACAATCACGGTGTTGTAGTATAAGCTTCTGCTTTATATGTACTTGCAGAGAAATTAAACTATCTGACCTTTCTGAATATCTGAAGCACGCTTCCAAGTATGGCTTTACAGAAAAAAGAATCACATATTCTATGAAGAACATGATTTGTGAACCTATAAAGTGTAATTTATTTCACTATCCATCTAGCATGCTGAAATTACAAAAGAATCTGTTGCAAGCTAATCATTAGAAGCTAAGAAATTAAATAATAAAAAATTTTCTCCCTGTCATCAAGAGGAAGGATGAGGTAGCAGAGAATGTCTAAGTATAATCCTAAATATTGATACAGTAATAAAGATTATGCATGCTAAGAATCATAAAATAGGAGGCATTTCTATTTAAAAGTTAATAGTAGTAACTATTCAAAAGGAAGAACCCGGTAATGTTAGTTAGATTATGATTGTTTATTTGTAACCCTGTAATCAGCTCTGGGAAGGGGGGGAGGGGGGGAGAGATTTGGGATATATATTGTATAAAATCTTTAAAACTTTTAATAAAAAAAAAGGAAGAACCCGGAGCTTTCCTTTATGGGAGAAACATGGGCAGCAAGACAGATAAATAATTTCAACTTAAAAAATAGTATCCTCTTCTACACTAATGCAATAGTGGAAAAAGAAAACATTTGCAAAGAGAAAACTCACAAACTCACAGTGATGATGGTGAAGCAAAGATATTCTTATCACTGCAGATCAAGAGTTGCTTATAAACGAGGTGTAGTTGTTATATGGAAAACTGTGAAAATTCACAATTTTATAGAAAAAAAATGAAATGCCATGTTTGTATTCTCCTATCAGGAATAGTGAAAGAAATTTTGTTTTCATTACTGAATGCAGAGAGTGCAGGCAACCATATATACCAAGATCAATATAATTGATACCCTATTTTCAGTAGTCATTTACTGTAATTCTATATAATAATGAAATGATCATACCCTCATAAACAAGAATGCAGACTGAACAAATTTTGATGTGTTTGATATTCCAATTATGAACTTTTACAAATTGGCTGGATCACACGCCTTGCTAAACCAAGGGTTTTCAAACTATGGATCACAACCAGAGGGGGCCACAAACAAATCTAAAAAGGGTTGCACTACTTCTTACTGTCTGCACTTAGTCAGCTTTCACCAAGCTGCCAATGCTGGACTGAGCTGGGCACAGGATCCAAATACTCTCCTCCAACGGTTTTCCGTTCACAATTCCTGAAACCACCCTAATATGCTCACAAGCATTAGCAAGACATCATGGCTAAAATTAAGTTCCTTTGTCTTGTATTGCTTTTTCCCTGTTCCAAGGGAAGCTTTTCCTGGGCTTCTTCCTGAGGAGCATCATGCTGGGTCCAGAAACAAGGAGAAAACTTAGCCACAAACACAATTTCTCTAGGTTTGGGGGGAAAAAACCTACCCTGGCTACAACACTCAAAGAAACAATGTCTCCAGGCTTGGAAAGCAACCAAGCCTAAGTTTGACCATCCGTCTGGTTCCCACGAGGGCAGATTCCCAGTCCTGCCACAGAAGAGAAGGCAGTTACTAGTTGACCAATCCAATAACAGCCGCAACCACAAGAAGCAAGGAACCTATATTTTCCTGAAGAAACCACTTTGCAAATCTTGCTTTTTCACAACACATCTGGCCATAGCAAACTGCTTCAGAATTACCTTTTCTACGGTTCTAGGGCAGCCAGCTGGGCAAGATGAAAGCTGGCTGAGTGTCTTCCCGTGATTAGGCCCTACTTGTAGATACCAAGTAGACACAGGATGAAGTTGCTGTTTGTGCAGGGCTTCTCATCCAGCAATCAGATTTCCTAGGGTAACTTTTAAAATATGGGGTGTATGTATGTCTCACTTTTGCCCAAGTTGCCATGTGTTCAAGTCTGTCCAGATCCTCCTCTGAGATTGTAGTATCTAATTCTGACAATGGCTAGATATAGGTTTGCAAAATACTATAGTATGATTTGTTTGCTTTATCCTTTACATTTTATACAAACGTAGCTATTTTCATATAAAAATAAGCAATACTTAAATAAGGCATGATTTAACAAACTGCATTAATACCATCAGTGAGAATAGTCCAACAGTGCCCTCTTTTACTTTTGCCATTAGACCGACCCTGCAAAACATATCTTTTCCTATGCTCATAAACAGAGATGAGATAGCTAGCCAACACTTGAGCCCAAAAGATGAGATGTGCCAACATTTCTATGTATCTCAGTCAATTGTGAACACTGTTGAAGCAATATTATTACTACATGTACAGCATACCTTACTGCTTCTTCTCTGTGTCCTTGTCTTGCATTATAACTGTCCTTGGCTTTTGATTCCTTACTATTAGTAAACTTCATATTAAGGTCTAGGCTATAGTAATCTGATAACTTATATATAAAACCATGTTATAGCCACACTATTTTGACACACACATCCTGTACTTTAGACAGGCAGTGGTTAACATGCTGAATTAAGACCAGAGAGAGTCAGGTTCAAGTCTACTTTTAACCTTGAAAACTCACTGTCTGACTTAAGGCCAGTTATTTTCTCCTAGTCCAATCTATCTTTCATGGTCATTATTATGGGGATTTAAAAAAAGATTCCTTAGAAAAAATAGAGTTTAAAATCTACCAGATCATAGCAGTTAAAAACAGACTATGACCAAAGCCCCCACATCTCATATCCTCTGGGTGTGTTGGACTTTTAACTACAGCAGCATAGCCATTTAGGAAGCACCAAAAATATTGACTTGCTGTTTGCTTGTAAGTAGAAACAAAAACATAAGTTATATAAATCAGTGAAAATATTAATATTATAATTTAATAATTTTTGCTGCCACAATCACTAAAGGAAGTCTAGGTGGTATAGATGTAATGTTCTAAGTAATAGCCATGGTTTTTGTTGTAATAAATTAACAAAGCCATGATTCTGATTACACACTCAAAATGCTGCTATATTATTTAATTCTGGATTAAAGAAGACAAATAGATTTTACCTATTTACCCTATCCCATATGTATTAACAACAGGCAGTTTCCTTATACTTTTAGTCTGTAATCTCAATAAAATATCAGGGCAATACTCATGATACCATACAACTTAAAAACAAGTTGTAACAGAACAGAATCCTAACCTAGCACAATAAAATAAACACATTTGCCTATCCCAGGTTAATAACTCAAACTATCACAGCATTTATCATACAATATATATGGGGGGGCAACATCTTAAATTAATATATCCAGGTGTAAACAAAAAGTTCAAGCTCAGCACTCACAAAAGGTGTGCAAAACAGGACATGGCGGATTAGTTGCCATCAAGACAATGCCAAGTCTTAGTGACCCCATACATATTCTTCAGGATGGACCAGGATATCACACTCCAGTTAAAAATCCAGTGCAGGTAGTCTTCAACTTATAATCCCAATTGAGCCCATTTCCACTGCTAAGCAAGACAGTTGTTAAGTGATTTTTTTTCTCCATTATACAATCTTGCCAAAGTTGTTAAGTGAATACTGTGCTTGTTAGTAAACATGGCTGTTAAATGAATCTGGCTTCCCCATTGATTTTGCTTGTCAGAAGACCAGAAAAGGGGATCACATGGCCCCAGGACACTGCAACCGTAATAAATACATGCAGGCTGCCAAGCATCTGAATTCTGATCATGTGACCATGGGGATGCTGCAATGGTCATAAGTGTGAAAAACCGTCCTAACTTACTTTTTTCGGTACCATTGTCATTTCCAACTGTCACTACACCAGTGGTTCTCAACCTGTGGGTCGCGACCCCATTTGGGGTCAAACGACCATTTCATGGGGGTCGCCAAACAACGCAGTCCGCCATTTTTTCCCCTTTTCCTTAGTTGTGCTACTCCCTTTTATTCTACTGGCTTTTGAAAGCCAATAGAACAGACTCTCTTGAAAAGAATCTAATTCTATTGGTTTTCAAAAGCCAATAGGAATTATCCAGGCTGTCTCTGCCCTGCTGAGCCCGCCAAAAGCCCCAGTCTGCAAATGGTGCTGCAAGTTGTCTGCAGTGAAGGTGAGCTGTCTGGAAGTTTCCACCCCTCCCTGCTGAGCAACTACTAAAAATGTAAGTAAAAGAGGGCCAGGGGTGGGAGGTGGGAGGTGGGAGGCCGGCGGGTGCAGGGAGGATTGCTGGCGCACGTGGGGCCTGGTGGGTGCCTTACCTCCCTTGGGCTGGGCCAGCTGGTGGCCCAGCCGGTGGTCGCCCTGCGCGGTCGCTGCCCCTTGACAGCTACGCCTCGGCCGGTGCAGGGGGCTGCACCATGCATGCGCAGCGCTCCCGGGCAGGGAAAGTCCTCGACTTACAACCAGTTGGGTAGTCTTCGACTTACGACCGGTTGGAGGTCGCGGCATTAAAAAGGTTGAGAACCACTGCACTACACAAATGGGAGGGGGGAGGTAAGTCGAGGATTTACCTGTACAGTCGCTGGAAGAAAAAGCTTTTCTTAACATCAGCAGAGCCCGCTAGCAGTTTTCCCACCAGGACGATGTGGGAGGGAAGGGGAATGAAAGAAATGGAGAGCAGAGAACCGAGAGAGACGAGGACGACGTGAACTTCCTCCTGGCAGCTGCCGCTTCCCTGAAGCGGCAGCAGCAGCAGCTGAGCGGAGCCCGCGAGACCAAAGCCCAGCAGACCTTTGAAACACCGGAAGTAGCGCGCGGCGCAAGAGAGGCTGCTCACGCCACCGGCCTCTTCTCGTTCCCGCGCGCCCCGCTTTCCCGGGAGTCCCGCGTAGGACTCCCCATTCCCCGGTCTTGAGGGAAACCGCTAGCGAATGAGGAGATGCCTCGAGTGTAACGGGAAGAGGGAGGAGGAGCGGAACGAAGCCGCCACTGCCGTCCCTTTCCTCGGCACAATGGCATCTGCTTCCTTCCCCTCAGACGACGGTAAAGAAAACCCTTCGACCGAAGAGGAGCGGCGGCAGCGGGGCGGCAGTTAAAGCTGCAGGCAACGCACAGCTGGAAGGCCGGGGAGAGGGAGTGTCTGTCGCGGCTGCCTCACCTGTTTGCCCCGGTAGAAAAGGCGCTGTCGGTCAGGGCTTACACGGAAGCTTTCCTGGATCTTTTCGCGCAGACTTTCGATCTTGGTCAGCCGGCTGAGGTCGTCGATTGTCCGGGTCTGGGCACCATCGATGGTCCGCACCTGGATCCACATGGCGCGCTCCCGAAGGAGAAAAGCAGAAAAAGGAAAGGGAGCTTCCCGCCTCTGGATTTTTCCACTTGGCGAAGCGAAGGCGGCGATGAGGAGCTGCTGCCTGAATCTCGAGGACCGCCGCGGTGCGAGCCGCTTCTCCTACCCGCCGGCCTTCCTCTTCTCCGGCCCGCCAGCAGTCTCGGCTCCTCCTAAGCTCGTCCGCCGATCCCACCCGCCCCACTCGCGACCAACCAGCAGCAACGATTCTCTCGAGCCAGCCCAGAATGGCGGCAAACCCTGTCAGAGCTTAGTGGGGAACTGCCGGCTCGGCTAAGCTAATGAGCGCCGGCGGGAGCCATGTCCTGAACCCGGAGGACTGTTTACCAAAGCGCCGCTGCTCTCACATGGAGGTCACGGCGCCAACGCTGATCTCGCGAGAGAAGCCCGGACCACCACAAACCGCCGCCATCCCCGCGCGCCCCCACCCTTGCCGCGACCTTAAAGAGACAATAACGGCAGGCGGGGAATGGAGGCTTTGGAGGCGGCGTTTCAAGTGCTCAAATCCCTCTTCGCGCCTCTCCAAACACGGCCGGCCCAGCGCCACGCCCCTTGCCCGCGACCTCGTGGCGTCAGATCGGAGGTCCGTTGCCTGATGTTCGTGGCAGAATTAGGAGGTTGCGCAACTTCGCTGCCTTGCCTCGGTATTGTCTCCGTGGGTTACCGCCGCCGTAATCGAATCATGAGTGCAGTCTAGTAAACAGTAAACATCCTTACCTCTAAGTTGGCATTCCTTGGGGGGGAGGGGAAAGCGCCACTGAGTTCAGGGAGACGCTTTTCATCCCTTGTTTATATTTCTTGGGGTGGCGATCCATTTTACACACACACAGACACACACACACACCACCCCCAGCTTGTGTATCGGATCAGTGTATGTGGACAGCATAAATACCACAGTCAACATTTACTAGTCTTAGCATAAAAACCCGGACCATCCGGATTTTACACGGAATAGCACTGAAACCTGAGTTATGTTACAGATGACGTAGCACATAACGTATCTGAGACAGTCCCGTTAATTTTGTATTAATTAACTTCATATATATTGCATACTCAAATCTATGGGTCGCTATCGTTTGCAATATTTAATGCCTAAGGTTCACACGAATCTCTTGCAATTTGCATTTGAATCTTCTCTTATTGACAGCACTGCAAAAAATGGCCTCCACAGGCAGGCAATACCATTTTTGTATAACATCCATCGCTTCCTAGAACCGACTATAACAATATTTGGAATTCACTGTAAGAATAGATCCCCAGCATCTATAGATAACAATTTAAAAGCCATAGATTAGGCAGATACATTTTCTTTTATTATTGTTCCTTTTGTTATTGTTACTGGTTTCTACCTATGATCCAGAGCTGAGATCTTATCATTATTAACGCAAAAAAGAAACTCCATCCCCCCAAAATGAGCATGACTCAAATTAAATATTGCTTTGAACACTCCGATCTCTCTTCCAGGACTCTCCACTTCTCAAACTGGCCAGAGCTAAGATTTCCTATACAAATTATGTTGATCAGCTACTGCCAGCTCACAGCCCATCAAAGTACACGTGAAAGAAAGGGTGAGGAGTGCATCAGTTTACAACATTGTGTGCTTTTGACTGAACTGCATTTGCCATTTTAAAACCATTTCACTTTGGACTGATCATTTTGGAACTTTCTGGATCTTTTAAAAAATGTATTACTGAATACTTTGCTGATGTCAGAAATCTTTGCCATCTCATTGCTTACAACAGTCTTTGAATCAAGATACCTAAAATCAGCTAACCTAAAGTATGTGTAAAAAATCTGGGACCCATTACTTCATACTCCTGAAATTCCATGATGTTTGTATCACTTTTATTTGTAAAATTGTCTCTGCAGTCATATGATCATAAATTCCAATGCTCCTGCCAACTTCATACAAAGTCAGTGGGAAAGCTAGTAGGAAGTCGTTCCTGCTCCCATTGTTTTTTTGCCGAACCATGGTCATTTTGTTTCTCTGTTTAGGTAAAGAAATATTGACTTTTGAAGTTCATTTGCCACTATAATTATTTTCCTATTTATGTATATACTGTACTCTTAGATGATCATGGGATCATCCAACATTGGGGGGAAAAATTGGGTCAGCCTTAAATTTAATAAATATTCTGGTCACATTAGACTGGACTTTCTTTCAAAGGATAATCCAACAGGTTACAGGATCGTGTTTCATTCATAAAGCTAAAAAGAACTGATCCTAATACATCTTTGGGAAAGCCTATTTAGCACAATTTTCTATTTATTCCTGCAGCCTTCTATTTCCAATGCATTAATCAATTGCAAATCCATATGAACACCTGATCTTTTTGTAGTGGATGTGAATTTCCCTAGGATCCTTTGGTAAGGTCATTGGTCAAAAGCTATACACAATATCTGTCAGATCAGTCTATGGATATGCCTATTGAGATGTGCCAGGAAAAAACCCTTCTATTTTTGTAGCAGCCACTTTGGTTTTTATCTAACCAAGTTACTTTTTGCTGTTTATTCAGGATAAACATTTCCTGGCCTATATTTCTCTTTATTTTCCCTCCAACCTTTTATTTAAAGGATACTTAGATTGGTCATTTTCCAGTGTCCAGGCATTATTTAATACAACCTACTATATCACATTGGAACTCTTTCAATATAGTATTTATTATTAATTAGTAAAGACTTATGGTGTCATATTTAATTATCTGTAGTTATTTGATTTCTTTCAGCTTTCCTCCTGAAAAAGTGTGCTCGGTTATGGGGATCTGCTTTACCTCCTCTAAAATAAATGCAAAGAATGTATGCAGCTTGTCATCTTGAAGTAGTAGGAACCTAAACCAAAATCAGACTCACTGCTGTCCTTGACAGTCTTACACAGATTGCTAATAAATGTATGCAGGATACTGTTTTCTTTCTTTCAGGAGTATCAAGGATTGGAAATAGAACGAAGTGCTTTGAATTAAATCTCTCATTATTTTTCGTTGAACATTTCAGCCAAATCCTAAATTAAGTTGAAGGTGATAGCAATCTTTCATTATTTTCAGTTGAACTATTACATCTATATCAAGATTTGGTAGAAAACTTATTTAAAAGCAGTAGAGCATTTCCAAAGCCTCCAACTTGATAAACAAAAAATCCTTCGAAAGCAGTGAAGCATTTCTCTTGAATCTTCACTTCTAACAAAATCTATAGTTCATCTTTTATTTTTACAGAAACTTCCTTTTATTGCAGTCATTCAATTCATTTTAATACATTCAGATAATACAGTACATGGTTTTAGGAAATAAGTAATTTTTTTTCTTTTAAGTCTTTCAGGATATATATTGGATGTGTTCAGATGTTATTTCATTGCCTAATTTAACAAGATGTCAACAAGCAGAAATGGGCACGCCTCACTACATTCATGTTACAACTGTTTTCATGAGCTGCATTGTTTATTATTTTGCTTCTAGTTGTGATGCAAGATGCTGATCTTTACCTACTTGGCATGGAGCATAGTTACTTGAGGGATCACCATCCTCCCATAGTATCTGCCCAGTGATCTGATCTGACAGCCAAGAAAAAAAGGATTTGAATATGTTTGCCAAAGGCAAATAAAAAGAGGGAGGGGAAAGATTAAGAAGGTAACTATTCCATGGAATAGAATAGAGCTGGAAGGGAGCTTGGAGGTCTTCTAGTCCACCCCCCTGCTCAAGCAGGAGAACCTATACCATCTCAGACAAGTGACTGTCTAGTCCACGGCTCAGCAACCCGCTGCTCTGGAGCCGCATGCGGCTCTTTCAGCTTTCTATGGCGGCTCCAGTCCTCCTCTGCCATTTGCAGAGAGAGAGAGGCACTTGCATTTCACTTTCCTTTTTTTTCCCTCTCTCTCTCTCTGGTCTCCTGATTGACCCTGCGCCCAGGCACCCTGCCCCCTGGGAGAAGCGCGGCCAGGAAGTCTCTCCTGGGCTGGCCCCATCCAAGGCCCAGGTGGCCAGGGAGCCATGTGGGGCAGCCCCGGGATCCTCCCAGATGCATCCCGCCGGAGCCTCCGCTGAGCGGGCCAGGCCTCCCACGAGCTGTGGCCCCGAGGGAGCGCAGCCCCTGCGATCCCTAGCTGGCGCTACCATTGGCCCCGCTGGCTGGGAAGGCGCACCGGAGTCCCGGCTGCCAGGAAGGCGGTCAGCCCACTCCTCTCCCATCACCCAGAAAAGGTAAACAATTAGTCCCCAGTGCTGGGTTTTCCCCACATGCAGGGCTTACATTGGTGGCGGAGATGCGCAAGAGAGGGAGGGAGGGAGAGAGAGAGGGAGAGGAAAGAGAAAGAAAGAGGGAGAGGAAGGAGAGAAAGGGAGAGCAGTTAATTTTTCATAAATGCAACACACTATAATTTTTTTATACATAGCATAAAGGTAAAAAAAGGATATATGCAGTGTTATCTTCATTTTAGATGTGAAAAGGGTTTTGTGGCTCCCAGTGTTTCTCTTTTCTGTGAGAAACAGGTCCAAGTGGCTCTTTGAGTGTTTAAGGTTGGCAACCCCTGGTCTAGTCTCTTCTTAAAAAGGAAAGAAGGGTGAAAGTTACAATTCTATAATTTCTTTTTTTTTCTTATCTTTCCTTTGACTTTTTAAAATACTTTTAATACTTACATTGTATTTTAAAATTCTAATAATGAATAATCATGCTTGCCAAAGGCCTGGACAAAGAGTCAGGCCTTCAGGGCCCTTTGAGAATAACCTTATTTCAGAGGGCAGGAGTTGCTACAGAAAAGACACACTTCTGTGGTCTCAGCAGATGGCATTGTTTAACTGAAGGACTTTGGAGTAAGGCTATTTATGTAGAGATAAGAAAAAAGTATAGTATCTTAAAACTGTTGTCTCCATTGTTTTTAGGACTACTTTAAAAATATATCCAGGGTTTTTTAAAATCTGCCTTTACTCTTTAATTCTGTAGATAACCCACATATTTTTGTGCCCTGGAATAAAAAACAAGGAAGTGGCTTATTCTGCATTTTCAGCATTCCTTAGACAACAATACTTGAAACATTCTGAGTGATCTTTGTATGATAGATACTCTTGAAGAATTCTGAGTTTGTTCCAGCAGAACCTAAGCAACTCAGAACACTTTGCAAAAATTTGTTCCAAGTTTGAAACCAAATTTCAGTATCATGAATAAAGTAAAAACAAAACACATCTTAAAAACGCCCATGTTTACAAAATAGGTAAAATGACAAATTACCTAGTAAACAATATATAATTGTTCTTCAAATTAATGTGACTGCCAGAAGCATTCATAATCCAGTCCATCAGAAACACCAAAATTACTTAGTTTGTTTTATTACCAATATTCATGGTAATACAGTATTTCAAAAGAATTTCCCTATAGTAGCCTACCTTTTCAGGAACTATAATATATACAATGCTATTTTTTTGTTC